GCCTATGTTTTCTATTGTAAATTACCTTTCATTTAAATATTGTAAACATTATTTGGATCTAATCCAATTGATTTTTCACACATCTCAATCGCTTAATCCCAACGCTTTAATGAACTTAAAGCACTTCCTAAAGTGAAAAATAAAATATGCTTACCCTTTTATAAATAATTATCAGAGTCATATGGTTTCAAAATGATACAAATATCATAGCAAAAATAGCCTTTTCATATAATTTTAGCTCTTCTATTTCTCTAATTTTAATTTGTTAATATAAGGTTTTTGTTTAGTTTAAATTAAAAAGTTATATCTTTTTATTTATAGAGATCTACACTTTTAGGATATTAAATTATACATTAATCTAAACAAACAATAGCCTCATCATAGCACTTCATATCGTATAAAAGTAAACCTAAATTTTTTAATAATTGTTTCTACTTTTGTGATAATTACCTATTTATTTTATAGGATCTAATTTTAAATATAAATTAATAAAATCTAGAGCTTCATTATAGCGTTGTTATTTTTATAAAATCCTTCCTAAAATTATCAAAAAAATGTTTTTGTACCTTTAATTAAATAACCTGCATTATAATTTTTATTAATTTTAAAAATTTCTTCAATTACTTAAAGGGCTTCTTCGAATTATTTTAATTCAAGTAATTCAACACCTTAATATTACTTTTTAAGCTACTTTTTCGATATCTTGCAAGTAAGTTTATATTATCAACTAATAATGTTATCTCACAAAAATTTAACGCCTCATCCAATTGATTACCATTTTCTAAAATAAATACTAAAATATAAAAAAATCATACTTTTTGAAATTAGACCAATGACATCATTTTGATTTTTTGTTAACAAAGTATCTTAATGATTATTAAAATCATTAATAGAAAGTGATATATATGAAACAATTAATTAATATAAGGTTTTAATGACTTAAAGATAGATCTGATTATAAGTTCCTAATAATTTTTAATTCATTAATTAAAAAATTGAAGAATGTTTTTTAAATTATAATGAATACTTAATTTTATTTTGATGAACTATTAAAAATTACTTAAGGTGAAAAATGATTAGATAAAGATTATATTATTAATTTTTATAATAAGAATTAAGCAGAAAATGTTTTATGAATTTTGATAATAAGATTATTTTATTCTAGTATTTTAAAGGAATTAAAATTATTATTATTAAAAATGAATAATCTTGAATGTGATCCTGATAAAGGATGTTGGCTTTTGAGTAATTGTGTGAAAGATGAATTAAGTTATACTTGTGTCCATGATCCAATATTGGAATTAACTCCATATACAGGATTTGTTTATTTCTTAATACCAATATTATTGGGTACCAGCATTTTAGGTGGTTTAGGAAGTGGTATGATTAAAAGACCAATATTAAATCTACTATTAAATTATCCTTCAAACATTTCAACACAAATAGCATATTGATTCACAACTGCATCATTGAATTTATTATTTTTATTTTTTGAAATGTAATGTCATATCCAATTTTTTAGGCATCCTGATCATTTAAATTTACCTTTAATAAATTTTGATATAAGCATAATATTGAATTAAACAATTCCATTAGCATGGAGTGCAGGAGCATTTCTATCATAAATATCACCACAATTTATAATATATCTAATCTAACTGTGTTTTTTATTAGGAGCATTACCTTTATTTTGGAAATTTAGTAATAATTTAAATTGTATATTTAGAACATACTTAAAAAAGACTTGAATAAGATAAAAGAGAAAATATTGTATTAGTTGATTAAAAAATAAAAACTAAAAGAAGAAATGTCAATTGAAACTAATTTTGATGAAAAATAGCTAAATTAGTATCAATAATTCTATTTAAATGATCACAAGAAATTCTAAATAAAAAATTTATGTTTCATTTTAGGATCCTTTTTTATAAATTAAACAATTATTTTGATGAGATCAAATAAATATAATAATTCAATAATAGGATTAAATAAATGTACTCTTGAAAATAACATGATTTTATTTGCAATTGTAGGTGTCAATATTGCTTATTCACTAATAGTATATTGGAATAAAAGAAATGAGGAATATCATAAAGATATTGTGTAATATAGACCAAATTAGAGAATCTTCAAATAGAAAAAATTATTTTTATTTTATTATTTAGGAGGTTTTTTAGCAGGATTTAGCACAGGTTTTCTAGGTATGAGTGGAGGGATAATTATTGTTACATTTTTATTATCTTAAAAAATAATTGCTAGAGAAGCAGCTGCTACTGCTGCTTTCGGATCATTTATGATTTCTATAAATAGTTTGTTCTTATTCATTTTGTAAAAATCTATAAGTGACACATAAATGATTGTGTTTATCATTTTTGGAGTATAAAATTATTTATTAATTTTATAGATTTTAGGAGTTATCATTATTACAAAACCTTCATATATTTTAATGAACAAGTTTAGGATATATCATTTTAATTGTAGATATAATTTAAGTTTCTATCAATGTATTTTCAATTTTAGCCTTAATTGTAGTCAATTCAACATTGTATGGATTTAATGTAATGTTAGATCGCGATCCTAATTGTTGAAATTTGTAATCATTTTATTATTATTATCATATCAATTTTTATATCTGAATAATCTACTTTTTTTTTGACTTATTATATAATATTACTCATATCAAGAAAATATATATTATATAAGAATTTTAGTAAATATAACTTAATGTATTTTAACAATTATATATATTGAAATTTTAGATTATTTTTAAATAAACATTTTTGTAGACTTAAGCTAAATATTATAATTTTTAAATCAAAAATTAATCTAACGCACGAAAAAAAATATTTCAAACTCTTATGAATTTCATCCACTAATTATATATTTTAAATTCAATTTTCATTCCTAAACTATTAATTTTGTTTATAATTTTATAATTGGTATAATAAATACATTTAAAATAAACAATAAATACATGATAAAATAATTTACCTAATTATAGTTTAAACTTTTGAATGATATAAAAGATATAATTTTAATTAATTTTGGAATAAAATTCTTACATAGATTCCAGATTTTAGATGTAATTTCCCTTTTTATTTATATTGATTTTAATAAATATAATAAAAATTATCTCCTAATTATCATGACCATGCTTAATATTACAAGAAAATACGATATTTTTAGGCTTCTTATTTTTAAAATAGGATTATTTGAGAGGGTTTAAAACAATTAAAAATTTAACATAATTATTAGAGTGAAAAAAAAAGATATTTATTTTTGATCCTTACTAAAGGTAAATCAAAACCTTTTTAAAAGGAGTATTATATAGCATTTATATTTGTAATCTACATAAATTACAAAGTTTAAAGTTTTCTTTTAGCTCCTCACAACTAATGCACATAATAAAATGGCTAAAAAAATCATTACAAAAATTTATAACAGAAACTTATAATGTAGTTTTATTTTGATTAATTTTATTATATCTTATTTTTATGTTGAATTTAATTAAAAAAAGTTATGAATCACTCACTATTTCTCTTATTATTATATAAATTCATAAATTTTTGAATAAATCTTTTAAAAAGTTCAGGGCTATCTTAATTTAAGAAAAAGATTAAAATGAATATCTCTACATTAAGCTTAATTTCAGTTTGTGTCCTAAATAACCTTTGAATTTCTATTAAAAGATTTTTGCATTCAAATTAATTTATCTCAGAGATATATTCCTATGGTTATGATAAGGACATAAAAATTTATAATGAAAATTATTTTATTTTATCATGAATGTGAAGTAGAAATTAAGAAAGTTCAAAAAAATACTCTAGTTTTTGTATATATAATTTGAAACTTTTTAAATTACTTAAGAAGCAGTGTTTACAAAGTTGAAAATAATTTTACATTTTTTTTATGCTACTATTAATATTTAGCTAAATTAGTATATTGCAATTCCAATATAAAAACAAACAAATCGATAATTTGGGCTGATAATTTTTAAAAGAATCAAAAAATTAACAATCTTAAAAAATTAAACCAAAAAATAAAATATAAATTTTATAATTTTACTATATTAATTAATTTCAAAACTTCTAAGGTTTCAATGCACTAAGTTCAGAATATTTCCAAATCAAGGTTTAAAAACTAAAAAATAAATTATTATATTGTTTACAAATGACAAAATAAAGAAATTTTAGATATAATATAAAATATTTAAATAGCA